AAATGGGAAGGGATCTTAGAACACAGGATGTCAGGGCTGGGAGGGCCCTTAGAACACAGAATGTCAGGGCTGGGGGGGGCCCTTAGAACACAGAATGTCAGGGCTGGGGGGGCCCTTAGAACACAGAATATCAGGGCTGGGAGGGCCCTTAGAACACAGAATGTCAGAGCTGGGAGGATCCTTAGAACACAGAATGTCAGAGCTGAGAGGGGCTTTAGAACACAGGATGTCAGAGCTGGAAGGGCCCTTAGAACACAGAACGTCAGAGCTGGGAGGGCCTTAGAACACAGGATGTCATTGCTGACTGGGGCTTGAGAACACAGTGTCAGAGCTGGGAGGGCCCTTAGAACACAGAATGTCAGGGCTGGGAGGGCCCTCAGAATCACAGAATGTCAGAATGGAGAGGGATCTTAGGCCACAGAATATCAGGGCTAAGAAGGAGCTTAGAGCATAGAATTTCAGAGCTGAGAAGAGACTTACAATGTACAATGTCAGAGCTGGGAGGCATTTGAAAGCAAGAATATGAGGGCTGGGAGAGACCTCAGAACACAGGATATTAGAGCTTGGGAATTTAGAACACAGAAGACCGAGTCTTAGTGGTCCTACTTTTCACAGATAAAAGGTGTGAGATCCCAAGGGTCCCAGTAACTTTTCCTTAAGTGACCCCAATAGTTAGCAGCAGAGCAGGGCCTAGCCCCAGAGGGCCTGGGCCGAGGTTTCCCCAATAAAGGGCCCCTCGTTGCCACCCCTCTGCATTTTCCTCCCTGTTCCTCACCTGAATACAAGCCAAGCCCACACCAACCTCTTGGCTGAGCTCACACCTGTAAGAAGTAGTACAATAGCAACACTGGCTCACCTTCACCTGCTCTTTGTAGTTTGCAAAACACAGTTGCACAACAGTCCTTTAAGGTAGGTAAAGCCAGTAATGATTATACCCATTTTACAGATGAAACAACTGAGGCTTAGAGAAGCGTGTCTCCATGCAGCTAAGAAGAAGCAGGAGCCAAGATCTGAACTCAGGTCTTTTGACTCCTAGTTTAGTACTCTATAGTACATACCATGCTGTCACCTCCTTGGCAAACATGCTGAAGACAAACTTACTCCAAAAACTCTTCCCTCATTAACACTTGATCCAGATGAACTCCACTGACCTCAAGCACACACAGGGGTAGGGGTGTGTGTGTGTGTGTGTGTGTGTGCGTGCATGCGTGCATGTGCACACATGCATAGCACCCGAAACTCTACCAGAGCTTCACAAGAACTGACATTGGTCTCCCTGTCATGGAACTTCGAAGTGTCTGGCCCTTGGCTTCCTGCAGCCGCATGCCCTCTGCTGGTCCTGAACTCAGTGTGGAGGTGGAGAACTCAGTGGGGCCAGCCTTGCTCTGACTGGGGATTCAGTCTCTGTTCTTTCTCCTCCCTTAGACTGCGGGCTCCCTCCATGCAACGGGGCAGGAAAGACTGTGGTTCCCCTCCCCCACCCCGAGTTAAGACTCTCCCCCACAGGACTGAGAGCTCCCAGGGACGGGGCTGGCCGGCCCTCACCACCTCCCAGGGACAGGGATTGTTTCTTTCCCTCACACGGGGTTTTTATGGAGGACAGAGGCCACTGGCTCCTCCTGAACCCGGAGGTTCCCTGCTTTCCCCACATCTCCTTCCCGATCCATACCACCCCCCAAAACACAATCGAGGCAGACCAGACTCAGCTTAGCTTCACCCTGAGCAAGCTGTTCTCTGGCACGACACTCACAAACACGTCTGGGTGGGAGAGGAGGGATGTCTCAGGGAATGTGGCTCCAGCCCTGGGAAAAGCACGCAGATGAGATGGAAGGGGTCGGCCTCTCGCTCTGGTCAAGGGCGGGTGAATGGAGGATCCTGCTTCCCTGGTCAGCTAGCCCGAGGACGGATCCCCACTCAGAGCGAGGCCCAGCAGGCTCTGACTTCAGGGCTCAGTCCACGGGGGCGTTGAGGGCAGAGAGCTTCAGCTCGGGCTCCACAGGGTCCACGTCAAAGAGGCTGACGGCATCGGTGCCCGTGGGTGGCGAGCGGCCGGGCACGGCCTCCTGGGGCTGCTCAGCGACCTGCAGGGCCGAGGCGCCTGAGTCCACCTCTCCAGGGAGGGTCATCCTGTGCTGCAAGGAGAAGCCCACCTGGGGGATGAACTGGGGGGCGCCACTGTGGGAATTTCGCATGGAGAGCGAGACGAGACTAGTCCTGCGATCCCAGGCCCACCGGGCACACGGCACGAACTTGGCCATGGCCCTTTTGAAATCTCTCATGAAGAGCGGGTAGATGATGGGGTTCATGGTGCTGTTGCAGTAGCCCAGCCAGGTGAGGACATCAAAGAAGACTTCGGGGATACAGTCACACACGGTCTGCAGGGAACAGGAGAGGAGGTCAAGGGCACGAGGCACACGAGGCACACGCGCAGCCTCCAGGTAAGCGATCACAACCGACTCTGAAGGACAGCACTGTGTGCTTCCAGAAGCACTTGACTTACTTTGTCTCTGTAGATCCTGCCAAGCCCAGCGTGGTAGTCATTGTTATGTCCATTTTACAGATAAGGAAACTGAAACTCTGAGACAAAGTGGCTTCAGTCAATCAACAAGCATCTAACTTCCTCATCCACAAAATGAGGGGCTTGCAAAGGGACCTTCCAGCCATGAAGTTGTTCTAAAATCCCTCCCATCTCAGACATCCTGTGTCCTAAGACCCCTCCCAGCTCTTGACGTTCTCTAAGGCCCCTCCCACTTCTGACATTCTCTGTTCTAGGGGTCCTCCCAGCTCTGACATTCTGTGTTCCAAGGCCCCTCCCAGCTCTGACATCCAGTGTTCTAAGGGTCTCCCTAGGTCTGACATCCAGTGTTCTAAGGCCCCTCTCAGCTCTGACATCCTATGTTCTAAGGGCCCTCCCAGCTCTGACATCCTGTGTTCTAAGGGTCTCCCTGGGTCTGACATCCAGTGTTCTAAGTGCCCTCCCAGCTCTGACTTCCAGTGTTCTAAGGGCCCTCCCAGCTCTGACACTCTGTGTTCCAAGGCCCCTCCTAGTTCTGTCATCCTGTGTTCCAAGGCCCCTCCCAGCTCTGACATCCAGTGTTCTAAGGG